GCAATTTGCAAGTCTTTTTCTCCCACAGTTCGGGTTAGCCTTGCAATTGCTTCATTCATTTGAGCCAGCTGCTCATCGATTGAAGTTGCTCCAATGGTCATGACTTGCATGGCTGAACTGTCGCTTGAATCGTCATCGGAGAGCATGGATTCGGAGTATTTCCTTGGGCTTTCCCCCCTTGGTGCCCTTAGTGAGGCTAAGGTGATCAAAGGCTCGTGCCTTGGGTGCTTTTGTTCCCTTGGCAGAGTTGATGCAGAGGTGAAAGAGGCGGCAGAAGTAGCTCTTGCCATGCTTCGAGTCGTGATGCCTAAAGTGACACCACTTGCGACGAGGACGCTCTTGTTCTTTGCGCCAGTTGCGGGAACAGTTTGAGCCTTCCTTGATGCCATTAATTTTGGAAGTGTGCTCGAATTTGAACGGAGAAAGAGATGAGAGGTAGAGATTGTCCCACCGGGCTTGCCAATTTGTGAACACAGAAAATTCCTGAAACGAAAGAGACAAGAACGAACGTGCACAAACAAATATTATGTATTTGATGATTTTGGGTTACAATCTCTCTCTATTTTGATCCTCTGATTCGATCTCCGTCAGGTGTTGATTGGTGGGTGTTTCGTTGATCCAAGGGCCGTTGATGCTTGATCTTGGATGAACTGTTTGAAGTTTCTTCAAAGGGTCGTGGGCTTGATCTTTGAAGGTGGATTTGAGCGGATCTTCAATGAGCCGTTGGGGCTTGATCTTGAAGAACAGTGATGAACGGATCTTCAAGGGCTTTTGGGCTTGATCTTGAAGAACAGTGATGAACAGATCTTCAAGGGCTTTTGGGCTTAATCTTGAATAACGGTTGGATGTGTGTGGATTTGTCGATGTTTGTTGATCCAAAGGGCCGTTGGGGCTTGATCTTGGATGAACGGATGATGAACGATGATGCTTTCTTCAAGGGCCGTCGGGGCTTGATCTTGAATTGGTGGAAGTTCTTCAAGGGCCGTTGGGGCTTGATCTTGAATTGGTGGATGATTGTTGATCCAAAGGGCCGTTGGGGCTTGATCTTAGGATGAACGATGAACGAAGAACGAAGAACACTTTCTTGATTCTTCGGGAACCTGGATGCTTGAGAGCTTCGGAGTTTCAGAGCTTCAGAGCTTCAAGGTGTAATATGAATTGGTTTTTTTCAAAATGAATGAAATGGGCTTGTATTTATAGAATTTTCCAAGGCCTAATTTTGAATATAATATCCCAGATGAAATAAGTCGTTTCTGCCAGGTGTTGACACGTGTCCTATTTGATGACTTTTCCAACTCATTTCAATTTTCGTTGAGTCACACGCTACGTGTAAAATTTATGTAATACATGAGCGTTGACACTTTGATTTACCGGTCAACATTTATTTACGAAATTTCGATGTCTACACAACTCTCCAACACTCCCCCTCATGTTGATACATAAATGTCGTTCATGCCCAACTTGACAAGAGAGTTGCAGAACGCTTGACTTGCAACAGCTTTAATTAAGATATCCGCCAATTGATCCTCTGACTTTACGAACGGGAATTGAATAATATTCCCATCCAACTTCTCCTTAATGAAGTGTCTGTCAACTTCCACGTGTTTTGTGTGATCATGTTGAATTGGGTTATGTGAGATATCAATAGCTGCTTTATTATCACAAAATAAATCTAAGGCTAAATTCGAAAGATACCCGAGTTCACCAAGTAACCTTCGAAGCCATAATAGTTCACATACTCCTTTTGCCATACCCCTGTATTCCGCCTCTGCACTTGATAAAGCAACCACTTTCTGTTTCTTACTCTGCCAAGTTACTAAGTTTCCTCCCACAAATGTAAAGTAACCAGATGTGGACCGACGATCAGTAACATTGCCTGCCCAATCTGCATCGGTGTAACCCTCCATTTGGCAATGATCATTCTTGGAAAACATGATGCCTCTACCTGGTGAGGACTTCAGGTATCATAAGATGCGTTCAACCACACCCATATGTGTATCACTTGGGGAATGCATAAATTGACTAACAACACTTACTGCATATGCAATATCAAGCCTGGTATGAGATAAATAAATTAACCTTCCAACTAACCTTTGATAACGATCTCGGTTAGTGGGAACTTGATCATGGTGCACAGCAAGATGGTGATTTTGGACTATAGGGGTGTCAACCGGTTTACAATCGAGCATTCCGGTTTCGGCTAACAAAGTCAAGAACATATTTTCTTGGAGATAGAAATATCCTTGTTTAGATCGAGCTACTTCTATACCCAAGAAATATTTTAATCCACCAAGATCTTTCATCTCGAACTCAGTTGCTAAGTAATCTTTTAGCCTTGAGATTTCTTCTTTATCATCACCCATAACAATCATATCATCCACATAAATAATAAGCACCGTCAATTTACCCATTGGACGTTTCAAGAAAAGTGTATGATCGAAATTACTTTGCCTGAACCCATACTTCTTCATAGCCATCCAGAAACTACCAAACCATGCTCAAGGTGATTGTTTCAATTCATACAATGCCTTATTCAACTTACACACCATTCCGAGTTGTGAAACTGATGCATAACCAGGTGGAATATCCATATACACTTCTTCTTTAAGATTACCATGTAAGAAAGCATTTTTCACATCAAATTGCTGTAATGGCCAATCCAAGTTAGCCGCCAATGAAAGTAACACTTGTACCGTAATATTCTTTGCTACTGGAGCAAATGTTTCTGTATAATCCACATCATACATTTGAGTGTATCCCTTGGCCACCAATCGTGCTTTGTATCGTTCAATCGACCCATCAGCTTTGTACTTGATGGTGTACACCCATCAACATCCCACTCTCTTCTTTTCTCGGGGTAGCAGAACTAAATCCCATGTTTGATTTTTCTAAAGTGCATCCATTTCTTCCTCTATTGCCTTGGTCCATCGATCTTCAAATAGTGCCTCCTTCAATGAACTTGGTGTGCTATTATTGGATATTTGTTGTACAAAAGTTTTGCCGAGTTCTGATAATTAATGTGATGACACATAATTGGCAATGGGATACTTAGAACCTTTCGTTGTTTCCGGTGAATATCGATTAGGTGGCTTTCCCCGATTGTGCCTGAAAGGTAACTAATAATTCGAAACATCGGATACATTAATAGGCATAATAGATCTTACCTCAGGAATATTCTCTGGATTATGGTCATCTGGTGGTACTATATTTTGAGACGATGAGGGAGTAGTATTAGTAGAAGTCTCAAGATCGGCAAGTGGCAACACTGTTGCCGTGGGTGAGGACGGCACTGTCATGCCTGCAGCTAGTTCTGTGGGCAGCAATGCTGCTTCTGTTGGCCGGGTTAGTAGCGTAGCCACTGCGGACTCGGCTACTGGCTCAACTAGTGGCAACGAAAGATCAGTGGTAGTAGCCATGGTCCAAACCTGCTTGTCATGCAATGTCTCCCCCTGAAGATGAGGGTTGGAAGAAGTCGAAGAGTAATACATCTCAAACTCAGAAAAAGTAACATCCATGGTAGTACATCTGAAGTGAAGGAGGATGGTAGCAACGGTACCCTTTTTGATGTATTTCATACCCCATGAAAACGCAACGGATAGCGCATGGGTCAAGTTTTGTCCGTTGATTTTTATGTAGATGAACAAAGGCAACATATCCAAAAACAGACAGGAGAGGCACGAATGTAGCAAGAACTTGCAAAGGTGTAAGAAAATTCAATACTTTTGATGGCATGCGATTGATAAGGTAAGTGGCAATCTGAAGAGCAACATCCCAAAAAGAGCGGGGAACATACGCCCCAATCAATAACGATCAAGCCGTTTCTAATAGATGGCGATTTTTGCGCTCAGCCACCCCATTCTATTGAGGAGTCTGAGGACAAGTAGTCTCGTGGAGGATTCTGTGATTAGTTAAATAATGTGTAAAATCATTATTAACATACTCACCCCCATTATCAAAACGCAAAATCCGGATTCTAGTAGAAAACTATGTCTGAACCATGGTGTGGAATGTCTTAAACGCCATAACACATCATTTTTATGCTTCAGAAAGTATAACCATGTCATCTGTGTGCAATCATCTATGAAAGTTACAAACGACCTAATACCAGATGAAGTAGTAATTAGAGATGGTCTCCAAACATCCAAATGAACAAGACCAAAAGGAATAGCACTGCTATGGGAATTCAACGAATAAGAAACACGGTGACTCTTGGCAAGTACGCAAGTGTCACCTTTAAAGTCTTAAACCGAACAACCAATAAATAAATCCGGAAACATATGTTGTAAATAACTGAAAGACAGATGATCTAAACGGTGATGCCATAACCATATCTGACGCTGTTTGTGATCAACGGCTCCTTAGGCGAGATTGACCCGTCCGGTACTAACATCGTCCACAAAATAGAGATCCCCCATCTTAGTACCACGACCAATTATCTTCTTCGTGAGAATATCCTGAATAAGACAAAACTTCGGATACAATAGTACACAACATTTCAATTGCTCAATAACTTGGCCATAAGACATCAATTTATGCTTTAGTGAAGGTACAAGTAGTGTATTCGGCAAAGAAAGGGTAAGCGTGAGGCGTACAGTGCCAACACAGTTACCGGTGAGATGACATCATTAGCATTAGTAATATTTCATCGAAGAGGAACGGTATCACAAGCTAAATCAGTGGGGTCATAAGTCATATGGTTTGTGGCACCGGAGTCAATGATCCAACCAGACTAAGTATCACAGTTATTCATATTAAAAGCATAACCATAGTTACATGAGGACTCCGAAGGCATGTCGGAAGAACTCGAAGCAAGAGGAGGATTCATGGTAGGGTTAGTTAGGGTAGTAGTGTTTAGTATAAGGGTAGGATCGGTTACGATGAAATTGTTTCCACCGTAGAGTGGTGGTAGGTTCTTCATGGGAGGGTTGAGTTTACTTGAGGGAACGGGCAGAGCAGAAATCCTAGGATCCTTGCTCTGATACCATACTAATTAGGGCTTATTTTGGGATTTAATTTTCTGATATTATTCTTCTCACCAAGGAGGAAAATATATAATGTACAAGAGTGATTTATAAGAAAAGAAACATCAAATAACTATAAGGACTCAAATAGGTAACTAAACTAATTACAAAAGGTCAACTCTCCAACATCAACTATTGTTCTTATTTAAACTATTACAATTTATTAATTTCATCTATAGTGACTTTTATTTTTAATCCCGCAACAATGTGCGGGCATTACTATCTAGTCTTCATCTATTTCCTCAATCTTCCATCTTCTTAACAGCCTGTTCTGCATCAGACCTTGGCCCCGTTGGCATTTGAAATCTGGATCAACACATCTGACTTCTACCACCTTGCCGCATTGGCAAGTCCTCCGTTCTTCTCAACCCGATACACCAGCCTGGGTTCCGCCGGTACATCTATGTACACGGTCGAGTTTTCATCTATTTCTTCTCGCACAAGCATCCGCGACAACTCTGTCACCACGCTCTTCTCGAGCCATTTCCGAACAGGTCTATCACCGTAAACCTGGAAAGGGAAATGGAGTACTTGGTTAGTATTACATATCATACAGGAGTAAAGCAGAAGAAAAGGTTTTGGATTCGCGAAACTGATACTTACGGGATCATAACTTTCGTCTAGAATGTAATCCAATGCTGCGTCTGTAACTTCCAACGCGACGCCCCTCTCAGCCAGTCGGACTGCAACATCTTTCATTTGCAATCTGGCAAACTTCCTCAGTTGATTGCGAGAAAGAGGATCGAACACAACAATCTCATCGAGACGATGCAGCAGCTCAGGCCTAAAGTGCTTTCTCACCTATTCAAGAACCAAACTTGTTAAAGTATTCAAAGAACCAAGCGAAGCACGGTAATTCAGAATTAGGGTAACCAAAGATGATACCTCATGCACAACTAGATCGCGCGCAACCTCCATCGAACACTTGCCCATCAAACCGGAGAGGAGATGTTCTGCCCCCAAATTCGAAGTCATGATGATCACCGTGTTTCTGAAATCGACTGTACGGCCTTGTCCATCAGTTAGTCTTCCATCCAAGACTTGGAGGAGAGTGTTGAGAACGGCAGTGTGAGCCTTCTCCACTTCATCAAACAATACAACACAGTAAGGCCTCCGCCTCACGGCCTCTGTGAGTTGCCCACCTCCACCGTGACCCATATACCTGTAAAATATAAATGAGTTCATAATGCTGCAGCTGAGCTCACAAACATGCTTGAGTGAAGAAAACTACAAATGCACTTACCCAGAGGGGGCGCCAATTAAGCGCGAAACTGAATGTTGTTCCATATACTCGGACATGTCAATTCTGACGATCAGATTTTCGTCATCAAAAAGTTGTTCAGCAAGCGCCTTCGCAAGCTCAGTTTTACCAACACCAGTTGGACCCAAGAACAGGAAGGAGCCAGTAGGCTGATGTGGCCTTCCTAGCCCCGCTCTTGACCTTAAAACTGCCTCGGCGACAGCTTCAACTGCCCTGTCTTGCCCTACTGCTCTCTTATGCAACCTTTCCCCAAGTCCAACTAACCTTTCTTCGTCATTCTGGCCATGCCGCGTGACAGGTATGCCATTCCTACGGCTGACCACCTCTGCAATTTGTTCTGGTCCAACTGTCTCCCTCAAAATCAATTTTTCGTTGGTACTACCTTCAAGTTCTGCAATCCTGGTTTCTGCATCATAAATAGAGCGATTTTTCAAATGGAACATCCTAGGAAGATCATATCTTCTTTCAGCCTCTGCATACGCTACCAAGAGCTCTTCACGCTTCTGCTCAAGCTGTCGAAGCTCAACAACCCCTTTCCTTTCCCTTCTACACTTCATCACCGGTGGCTGAAGACAAAAATTCAAACTTTTCATCTGGGTAACTTCCAATTCAACTAAAAATTAAACGGTTAATCTCAATTTACAAACCTAAAGTTTTTTGTTTTTCTACGTTTAATAGATCAAGTTTTTTTCTTTCCAAGTAACTAAAGTCACAATTTTGAGAAATTTTAATACATTCATTAAGTTTGCTGTTAATTTAGCTGTTATCTGCTAATATAACGCCACATGAATATTAAATGAATTAAATAAATTAAAAATTAAAAAATTAAAAACTATTCCCATCACGACCTCAGTCCTCCATCATGCCCAATTTTGAGTTTATGATTTGCAGAAGCTGTTGGATAAGTGGATTTTGTTTGACTTTTTGAGTTTGATTTGCATGTGGCAGTTGCGTATTCTTTGTTGGAGATTAGAAGCTTAATTTGTTTATGATTTGCCTAAACCCTATTGTTTCCACCTAGAAGATTAGCTTTGTTGAAATGATAAAATATTCAAAATGATTTTTTAATTTTTTAATATCCATGCAAGTTCATATTGACACGTAATATCCAATTACTATTTATATAATCACCATATTACTAATTAACGACTGATTTTACAACAAACTTAACAGATGTATAAAAATGTCCCAAAATTATGCCATCCAATCTGGATTTCTTTCATTTCAACTAAAAATTAAATTATTTTATCTGGGTTCTTTTCAATTCAACCCAACAACACAAACATGCAGTTCAAATTAAAATTAAAACTCTATCTGGGTACCTTTCAATCCAAATCAACAATATCGAAATGCGAAAATAGAGCGTACAAATAAATCGTAGAATCATTGATCATATTTTTCCCAGTTTACGAAATTCATCAACCTCTTCGTTTCTTTTTCCAAAATTTAAAAAATGCAGAGGCCATGCAACTTAACGAATATAAATTCGTTCAAAACCCAAGAACCCATATGAAAACCAACTCTAAAAACTCAAAGATGCACAGAAAGAAAGAGAGATCTTGGACGTACCTTGTAAGGAGTCTTCACAAGACTACTCCTACTTCTCACCAAGAACCCATATGAAAACCAACTCTAAAAACTCAAAGATGCACAGAAAGAAAGAGAGATCTTGGACGTACCTTGTAAGGAGTCTTCACAAGACTACTCCTACTTCTCACTCTCACTCTCACTTGATTGCCTACTTGCTTCTTGGCTACTTGATCGTTTGGTTTCTTGTTTGATTGGTTCTTACTTGATTGTTGCTCGCAAGCTTACAACATCACATATTTATAGGTGAGCCAAACCTAAGTCGGTAAATCGGTTAACATGGGCTCAAATTCATTCTAGCCAAAAATTATTGCTATCTTTGATTTTACTACACCAAACAATTTTTCTAGATTTTTCTGTAGCCTAAGTCGGTAGATTTGGCCTTTTTGTTTAAGGGGTGTGATATTCATACATTCCATTTTACTTCTCACACATCTTTTTAATTTTCGACCGTTTGATCGGATGAATTAAAGAAGATCAACGAACAGAAATTATTAATGGGTGTGAGAAATAAAATAGGGTATGTGGATAGCACACCCATTTTTCAAATTCATGCACGAACAATAGATTGCTAGACTTGTCTAGCATTCATGCGAACAAGACTTTGCTGCTCAACATTCAGCAGGAGGTCCTGCTTACACCCAATCCAGAGTCGACACGTGTCCAAATTTTTATTTTTTTAATCAAAACTTGGACACGTGTCCATCCGGGATTGAGTATAAGCAGGAATTCCTACTAAAATGTTGAGCAGCGAAGTTAATTCCTATTCATGCACCGGCCACTTTCAATGTTCCTAGCTAGAATCTTCTAAAACAGTTTCATGCATGTTTGAACTAAAATAATCTAGTTCCTTTGTACCGATTAATCTTAATGGGCTAATGTTGATCTTTAACAGAAACGTTCTAAATTTTCTAATAGATGCTTGGGAGAATGGGGGAGATATTTATAGGAGGATGAAACAACTGACCGACACGAAAGCAACAAGAACGAACCTGAGTCTAGACGAAGGAATGTTCCAAAGGCATTTTTCGTAACTTTCCATTTCATTTGTAAACGTCGGTAGGTCAGCACGGAACCCAACGTCGCTGATTATTTTGCCCTTTTTTTTCAATTTTTATTAATTAATTAATTTTTTTGATTTTTTTAATGACAACATAGATCCAAATTGACATGTGACGTCTAGTTATTGTTCATGCCGATGCCACGTCACAGGTTAACAACTGTTTTAACAAATTGTTCTAACAGATGTATAAAAGTGTCCTACAATTAACATTTTAGGTACTAGTCTAGGATGAAAAAAAACTTAGGAAAACTAATGAAAAAGGCTTGAAAACTTTGAGTTTTAATGATAAAGACAAAATAAAGGTTAAAGTGAATAGTACATGATTGACTTTTTAGTGTAAAAATGTGGTTTTTCGTTAAAGTGAACAGTACCGGATGCTTTTCGTTAAAATTCCCAAAAAACTTTACTTCTGAAATGTTGAAAACTAATAAATTTCACGGTAGTAAATTGAGAATTACTTTAGTTTTTATTTTTTAACTAGATGAAGGCTGAAGCCCACTAAATAAATAAATAAAATAGAGAAATGTGAGTTTTTACTACATCCCATATTTATAGGTGAGCCACTAAATAAAAAAAAATAGAGAAATGTTGATTTTTGCTAGCAAGCTTACAACATCCCATATTTATAGGTGAGCCAAACCGATTTACTAAGTCGGTTAACATGCCCAAATTCATCCTAGCCACAAATTATAGTTATCTTAGATTTTACTACACAAAACAATTTTTCTAGATTATTCTATAGCCTAAGTCGGTAGATTTGGGCTTTTTTTTAAGAGGTATGATATTCACACATCCCATTTTACTTCTCACATATATTTTTAATTTTCGACCGTTGGATCAAATGAATTAAAAAAGATCAACGAATATGAATTATTAATGGGTGTGTAAGAAATAAAATAGGGTGTGTGGATAGCACACCCCTTTTTCAAATTCATGCACGAACAATAGATTGCTAGACTTGTCTAGCATATTCATGCCAACAAGACTTCGATGCTCAACATTTCAGCAGGAGGTCATGCTTACATCCAATCCCGAGTGGACACGTGTCCAAATTACCCGGGCGCCGTAGTCTTGCCTAACCGTTCGGTCGGAGATACCTTTGTATGGTATAGCAAGCAGTTTAGCTACTTGTATCGATTTGCCACAGTGTGGTTAGATACAATGCGATGGCAGCCGCGGCTTGGTAGGATGTTAATGAAGGTCGAGGGAGCAGGGAAGAAAAGGTTATTCCCTATTGACTCACCCTAAACCAATGTTGCTAGCTAGAATCTTCTAGAATAATTTCATGCATCTTCGAACTAAAATAATCTAGTTCCTTTGTACCAATTAATCTTAATGGGTTGATGTTGATCTTTAACAGATACGTTCTGAATTTTCTGATGGATGCTTGGGAGAATCGGGGTGATATTTATAGGAGGATGAAACGACTGGCCGACACGAAACAACAAGAACGAACCAGAGTCTAGACGAAGGAATGTTCCAGAGGCATTTTTGTAACTTTCCATTTCATTTGTAAACGTCGACAGGTTGGCACGGAACCCAACGTCGCTGATTACTCTGCCCTTTTTTTTCAATTTTTATTAATTAATTAATTTTTTAATTTTTTTAATGACAACATAGATCCAAATTAACACATGACGTCTAGTTATTGTTCATGCCGGTGCCACGTCACAGGTTAACAACTGTTTTAACATATTGTTCTAACAGATGTATAAAAGTGTCATACAATTAACACTTTAGGTACTAGTCTAGGATGAAAAAAACTTTACTTCTGAAATGTTGAAAACCAATAAACTTCACGGTAGTAAATTGAGAATTACTTTAGTTTTTATTTTTTAACTAGATGAAGGCTGAAGCCCACTAAATAAAAAAAAATAGAGAAATGTGAGTTTTTTTTTTTTTGTTTAAAAAAATAGAGATGGTATGATGATGTGATGATATGTAGGTGAGGTTTGAATTTAAAAGACAATAAAATTTTGTTTATGCGAGATTACATTTGTGCCCATAATTTTATTTTGTGACCGAATACCAAATTGACTTTTCACTCTCTTTTAATTGACAAAGAAAATTTTATTAGGCAATTTAGATTATTTTGTTTTATGTTTTTACTAATTATACTATTAAGCAAACATACTCTAAAGATTAGTGGTTGGAACAAAATAAAGCTAGACCAATGGCATGTTTTGTTGTTTACAAACATTACTAAAGCGTCCCATTAAAAAAAAAATTAATGAAAAGGGCTTGAAAACTTTAAGTTTTAATGATAAGGATAAAATAAAGAGTAAAGTGAATAGTACCAGGATTGACTTTTTAGTATTAAAATGTGGTTTTTCGTTAAAGTGAACAGTACCAGGTGCTTTTCGTTAAAGTTCCCTTAAAAAAATGTGTTTACTAATATAAAATACTTTTAGAGATGTTTAATTTAAGGAAACTTTAATTTTAAGAAAATTTAGGCTAAATATCATGTTTTTAGTTTAGGTGCCGATGAAAAAATCAACCAGAACAATTCTATGCATAGTATTATTACATGATTGACAATTCCATCTACATGATTAACAATTCTATCACGCTTTTCAACCAGCCAACTTTTTCTTTCGACCGCTTGAACAAATTTTCGGACAGCTGGCCGATCAATTTTTTTCGATCTCAATGTCACTGTTCAATAACCTCAATATATATATTTATATATATATATATATATATATATATATATATATATAATGAGATCAAAATACACAAAATCTTTATGTTTTTTTGTTAAACAACCGTTACAGATGACGTAGTTGGAGTGTCCCTTTTTTCTCAATAGGACTGGTTGGTGGGCAAGGCTTAAAGCAAAACCACTTTGAAATTTCACGGACAAAATAATTCTAACTCTTCTTTTTTCTCATGAAGCAATTTACTGTATATAATCAGATTATTCATAGGGGCAAAAACTGTTTGACAGATCTCCCGAATTCACACATCAATATTGCCAATTTAGCAAACTACTTGTTGCTATATACACACCGACACGAAACAAAGTTCCAACACCATAGCAAACATTTGAAGAAACATAAATCCGACCGACTATGAATTTTGGCTCCGAAGACCCAATTTGCAACGAACAATTCACGTCATCTTTGAACCTATGGCATTTTGGTTTCGTCTCCTGATCATCCACCCGGGATGAACAGGCTCAGCCACTCCAAGCTGTCTGCAAAGTAATGTGAGATAGTTAAACAACAACAACAACAACAAAACATTTTCCCACTAAGTGGGGTCGGCTATATGAATCCTAGAACGCCATTGCGCTCGATTTTGTGTCATGTCCTCCGTTAGATCCAAGTACTCAAGTCTTTTCTTAGGGTCTCTTCCAAAGTTTTCCTAGGTCTTCCTCTACCCCTTCGGCCCTGAACCTCTGTCCCGTAGTCACATTTTCGAACCGGAGCGTCAGTATGCCTTCTTTGCACATGTCCAAACCACCGGAACCGATGTTCTCTCATCTTTCCTTCAATTTCGGCTACTCCTACTTTACCTCGGATATCCTCATTCCCAATCTTATCCTTTCTCGTGTGCCCACACATCCTCATCTCCGCTACACCCATTTTGTGTACGTGTTGATGCTTCACCGCCCAACATTCTGTGCCATACAACATCGCTGGCCTTATTGTCGTCCTATAAAATTTTCCCTTGAGCTTCATTGGCCTACGACGGTCACACAACACGCCGGATGCACTCTTACACTTCATCCATCCAGCTTGTATTCTATGGTTGAGATCTCCATCTAATTCTCCGTTCTCTTGCAAGATAGATCCTAGGTAGCGAAAACGGTCGCTTTTTGTGATCTTCGCTAGATTGCTCCGGTCATTAGTGTGGATAAGTATATAAATGGATAGAGATAGGAAAGCAAACACAAGATGTACGTGGTTCACCCAGATTGGCTACGTCTACGGAATAGAGGAGTTCTCATTAATTG